CAGGGACCAGGGACACCGCCCACTGCCCCTCCTCCCAGGTCAGCTGCGTCCCCGCAAACAGGGCACCAGGGACACCGCCCACTGCCCCTTCTCCCAGGTCAGCCGTGACCCCGCACACAGGGCACCAGGGACGCCGCCCACTACCCCTTCCCCCAGGTCAGCCGTGACCCCGCATACAGGGCACCAGGGAGGCTGCCCACTGCCCCTCCTCCCAGGTCAGCCGTGACCCCGCACACAGGGCACCAGGGAGGCTGCCCAGTGCCCCTTCTCCCAGGTCAGCCGTGACCCCGCACACAGGGCACCAGGGACGCCGCCCACTACCCCTTCCCCCAGGTCAGCCGTGACCCCGCATACAGGGCACCAGGGAGGCTGCCCACTGCCCCTCCTCCCAGGTCAGCCGTGACCCCGCACACAGGGACCAGGGACACCACCCACTGCCCCTTCTCCCAGGTCAGCCATGACCCCGCACACAGGGCACCAGGGACACCGCCCACTGCCCCTCCTCCCAGGTCAGCCGTGACCCCGCACACAGGGACCAGGGACACCACCCACTGCCCCTTCTCCCAGGTCAGCTGCATCCCTGCACACAGGGACCAGGGAGGCCGCCCAGTGTCCCTCCTCCCAGGTCAGCTGTGACCCCACACACAGGGACCAGGGAGGCCGCCCACTGCCCCTTCTCCCAGGTCAGCTGTGACCCCACACACAGGGACCAGGGACACCGCCCACTGCCCCTTCTCCCAGGTCAGCTGTGACCCCGCACACAGGGCACCAGGGACACCGCCCACTGCCCCTCCTCCCAGGTCAGCCGTGACCCCGCACACAGGGCACCAGGGAGGCCACCCACTGCCCCTCCTCCCAGGTCAGCTGCATCCCTGCACACAGGGCACCAGGGAGGCTGCCCACTGCCCCTCCTCCCAGGTCAGCCGCATCCCCGCACACAGGGACCAGGGAGGCCACCCACTGCCCCTTCTCTCAGTGGCTGCACGCACCAGCACGTGCCAGCCCCAGGCTCAGAGTTCCCCAAGCCGCCTGACACCAAGGTCACCGAGAGGATTACAGCAAGACACACATCAGTGCCAGGAACCTAGCAAGCACTCTGGGAGGGTTTTAGTAGCAGGATTTTTATTCTTCCCTAAACTTACAACTTCATTCTTCACCATTGAGTATTGCTAATTGTGATATGAAAATAAGAACAATGACAACTGCTGGGAAACTGTAAAAGTTTACAAAATCTGAGTCATTCTCCCTCGGCACTCACTCATAATGGGATGACCAAGGATGACCAAGGCACCTTCCCTCTTGGAGCCCGCTGCAGGATCAGGACACCCCAGGGCACAGCGGATGCAGCACCAGCACCCCGACACAGGGCCTCCAGCCCGGGACTCTCCCTGACCGAGCTGTCCCTGAGTTTTCTTGTGCTCTCAAAGCAGTCTTGGGCTCAGGAGAAGGAGCAGGGTCTCTGAGCACTCAGAGACTGGTTTCACAAAGTTGCACAACCAGCCAGCAGCTGAGACCATTCAAATGCAGGTCTCCCTGACACTAAGGCAGCAGGAATTTACATTATGACACGCTACTACCTCTGGCCATCTCATCAAACACAGACCCTACACGGATATGCTTTGCCTTAAGAAAAATTCTAAAAACGGCTCCTGGAATATTCTGAGTAGCAGGCATCACTAGATAGAGAGAGTAGCCATTGATATTCATGGATAAGCTGTAAGTCCAACACCCAACGAGGTAGAAACCATCACTGTCCCCAGTTTACAGAAAAGGAAATGAGCCCTGCAGTCTTTTCTACCACCCCACACTGTGTGTGCTAAGTATTTTCTTCACCCTCAGATCCGTCCTCTACCCTTCTCCATCCAGCGCTGCACCCTGGGACGCAGCCCTCCTGCCTCCAGGGAGATCTGGGTAAACACAGGGCATCAGGAGTGGCAGCGGGATGGAGCTAATAGGATGTCAGTTTGCCGATCCAAGGCCACAGCTGCCGACGAGCCCTCCGCCTAGGTCTCATCTGGTGCCCATCTGAGCTCTCGCCTCCTCTCCACCAGACTGAGGGGAGCAGAGGAGGGCCCCCTGCTGCTGGACTCTTGGTGCTTCCGCTAGCCCTGCCCACGGCTTGGGAAGCTGCCATCCATTACTTTCCTTCGCCCCTCTGAGTGGACCATTTGTTTTCTGCTGGGATAATTACTGACATCCTGCCTCTGTCTTAGACATTTATGGAAACGGGACCAATCCACCAGGCTGGACTGTGCAGAAAAAGACCTGGGGGAGAGAGGGACTGTTAGAGGACACGTCGGGAAACGCTGGGAGGAAGGGTATGGAAACCCACACCTCAACAATGGGTCCTTTCGGGTTTGCCTGTTTGACACAAGGACACAGTCCTTGTGAGTAACCTGGAGACGGCAAATCTGGAATTCCTCTGACATAAAGAAGCATTAACTGGATCAACAGACAATCAGCCAGCTTACAAATCAATGAAGGCATACAACTGAAATGGCTTAGCTCTTTTTCTGTCTTCAAAGGTGAATTAAGTACATCCTAGAGATGTGTTTTAACTTGCGTTTCCAAACTCTAATACCATACGGTGATTTATAGACTACTGATGCCCAGCCAAATACTTTCCCTGCTCTGGCTTCCCTTTTATGTGAAAGAAAGATGAAAGATACCTAGACTGGGTACTTAATCACTGTTGAGAGAGAAAGAGGCAGAGAGAGAGAGAGAGAGAGAGAGAGAGAGAGAGAGAGAGAGAGGCAGAAAGAAAGAGGGAGGGAGAGAGAGGCAGAGAGAGAGAATGGGAGGAAGGGAGGATGAACAGCAAGTTAGCTCAAGAGGGAGCTGATACCAAACACACTCAATTAGGCTGAGAAGAGGACGGAATAGTTTAAGAGGGTAAAGCAGATCAAATATTCCTCTTGAATAAAGTGGAAACAGAACATGTGTGGCTGTCGGCAGTTCTTGTGTCTAGTTAAGGTGTAGACATCATTCGAGCATCTCTTTTCCCTAGAATTTGCAAGGATTATGTAGCAGCAGAAAAGAGAAATGACTAAATCACATCTCCAAAATTTTCCAAGTCCAGTTTTTTTTTTTTTAATTTTTTTTTATTTTATTTTTATTTTTGATAGGCAGAGTGGACAGTGAGAGAGACAGAGAGAGAAAGGTCTTCCTTTGCCGTTGGTTCACCCTCCAATGGCCGCCGCTGCAGCCGGCGCACCGCACTGATCCGATGGCAGGAGCCAGGATCCAGGTGCTTCTCCTGGTCTCCCATGGGGTGCAGGGCCCAAGCACCTGGGCCATCCTCCACTGCACTCCCTGGCCATAGCAGAGAGCTGGCCTGGAAGAGGGGCAACCGGGACAGAATCCGGCGCCCCGACCGGGACTAGAACCCGGTGTGCCGGCGCCGCAAGGTGGAGGATTAGCCTATTGAGCCGCGGCGCCGGCTCCAAGTCCAGTTTTAACGCTGTTCACAAATCTTCCACACTGGCAGCTTTCTTGAAGGAAGTCACTGACTTACACAGTCCCGGGATGCAACTCCAACACTTCTCCTGAGTGCAAGAAGAAAGGAAGCCACCCAGCTTGCTCTCGGATTATCCCACTCAGATTTATTTCCCAGCAACAACCGAGTGGCCGGGCGGATGCAGGCACTCTGGATACGGGATGCGGGCACCTTAACCTGCACCTCCACTGCCGGGCCATAGCCTGCCCTGCAGGACTGTTAGCTAAGGAACAACTGGATCACTTAATTGCAGACAAAAAGGTGGGGGCGGGCACTGTGGTGCCTCAAGCTGTACCACCGCCCGGAGGCCTCCATTCCGTTTCAGGGCGCCTGGTCCAAGTTCCCGCTAGATTCCGCTTCCTTGGAGGCAGCAGATGATGGTCCTTGACCTTGAGTCCCTGCCACCCGTGTGGAAGACCTGGATGGAACCCCTGCTTGCTAAGTCAGGAGGCTCCTGGCTGCTGCAAGCATTTGGGGAATGAACCAGGGGATGGAAGATGTCTCTCTCTCTCTCTCCCCCTCTCCCTCCCTCCCTCCCCCCCCCCCCCCCCGTTATTCTGCCTTTCATATAAACAAATAAAATCTTTAAAAAAAAAAAAAGAAACAAAGGCATCTGTCAATAAAATTAACAGTACAGATAATGTGACCATGTCAATACTGCTGGTCTGTTCTTAGACATTTAAATGAAGGTCGAATAAACACAAAAATGAGCCAAAAATGTTATTATCACAACTGAGGCCAAGACAAGAAAACAGAAAGGATAAGAGAGGAATCATCCACTCTGACACATCTCAAAGACTTTAAGAAAACACCAAGATTTTCTTACAACCTAAGTTACAGATTTTAATATCATAAAAGTTTTTTGATAAGCATATAGTTAGTTAGCCACAGTTTTGACTTTTAATTTTTGGAGGCTTAACATCATTAGAATTTTTCTCCACAATTAATGTTCTCATTCTACTTCAGTAACCAGTCAAGTCTCATGTTACCAGCTGCTCAAAAGTTACTCATCAGAAACATAAATTGGTGTTACTAAACAAGAATTACCAAAAAAATTTTACCAACTATTTTTAAATAAATTTATGCTTAAATTACACAATTTGCCACAGTAATATAATACGATCCAGAAATTAGTATCAAACAAATCTGTGTTCCCACAGAGGTTCAATACTTTTCTTAACCTGTGGCCTACAATGAAACCTTCTGCTTAGAACTATTTTTGCCTGTAGGAAAACCCCAATGGCTGAGAGAGTGGTGCTCAGGTTATCTTGCAGGGGGATTATGGGCCATCTTCGTTTTCTTCTTAACATTCTTCTATACTTAGACACGTGAAATGTTACTCAACAGTGGCAATAAAACAACACACAGTCATAAAAGAAGAAGGTGCCATTGTTTCTGAAAGAGGAAAACTTAAAATTGTTTTTGAAATGAAGACTGTCACAGTGAGGCTGGCCTAACCAATCATGGAGCTGGTAAAAAAGTAGACGGACTTTATCAAACTGACCTCGTTCACCTGCTTCTTGTCCAGATGGAACACTTGACCGGAGCTGGTAGAGGCGATTTCTTCATAAACTCTGTATCCGATGTGGTTCCTGTCATCACAGTCTCCAGTGAGCACAAACACTACCTGCGATTGTAGCAAACAGAAACCGCTTAAAGGGTTTCCAGAAATCAGCACGTATTTACTGAGCATCGCTAGTGCTATCATATTACTTTGGTGAGTCAGACATGAATACATTAATATAAGCAAACATACATAATTCTTAACCACGTACATGGTTTAATGATGAGCTCTCACAGGACACAGCCATTCTTATTCCAGAAGTTTAGGCTAAAGCTACCAAGGTGCAGGGGAGACCGTGGCATTGCTAGCTTACACAACAGCCTCCTCGCAGCGCCCATTCTCTAGACCCACACACTATGCTACAGGATTCTGAGGTTCCTGCCACTAAAGAGGCACCACCTACTGTGTCATCTTTGAACCCAAGCCTGGCCACATGACCTGCTTTGGCCAACATGAAGTAAAAGGTATGCTCTGAGCCTAAACTCAAGAAGCCTTGTGCTTTTCCATCTGATCTGTTCCAACCATGGCCATAAGAAGGACGTGCCTAAATGACCTGCAATCTGAGAAAGAGGCTAAGCCAGGTTGCCATGGAGACCACCTTGGAGAAGCCAAACCCAAACCATTCCCCACATACCTGAGTAACCAAACCTGGCCTAGCTCATGTGGGCAATCGTAACCACGTGAGAACCACTGAGGGTGGACGCAGTTTATTATGCAGCTACACCTGATCCACTGGGGAACTCACTCAGGCTAGACTCCCTATAAGAAGTGACACCGGAAATCTATTTTGTGTCAGGACTGTGTTTTATAAGGGTAAGATGGTAACAAGCACCTTTTTTGTATTGAAGAACCAGGCATCCATGTGCTATGTATACTATCATATCTAAGTTTGTTTAAATGGCACATACATATTAGACCACACAGATGTGGACAGTAGTTGCAGCTATTGTCACTTGCCACACACGTATTAGAACATGCAGATGTGGACAGGTAATTAAACATCTGCCACAAATCTATCAGAACACACAGATGCAGACACAGTAGTGGCGGTCACTGTCATCTTTCACACACGTATGAGATCACACAGATAGGAACAGGAGGTTGTATGCATTGGCATCTGCCACACCACAAACAGAGGGAACAGGCACCCTCTCACAAGCTGTCTCCAGACGGGGAGGTGTGGGCTGGCTCCTCCTCACCTGGGACTGCTTCTGTTGGATGAGCTGCAGCACCTCATGGGTGAGTCGGTAATCCTTGGACCGTGCATCAGTGAAAACATAGATGAAAGATCCGGGGAGAGAAATTTCCAAGGCAATTTTGATAGCTCCAATACTCATTTCTGGACAATCACCACCACCCTGTTGATCAAAGAAAAAAAGTACATTATTTCATCAGCAAAGGGATGTATGGGTTAGGACAGGTTGTCCAGGAGATACGGAACTGAGTTAGGTCTATTTTCTGACAGCTGTAAAATGATATGAAACTGGAGGGGAAACAACTGTACTTACGGATAAATTACAACTTCACCCAAAATATGCAAAAATGGAACTGCTGCAGAGTTTGTAATTAGATGCTGACCCTGTCTCCCACGCTTCGACGACCATCTCACACATCCCCTTTTCTTAAGTCTTCTCACTCCTACATGACAACCCTGCTTCTGGGAGTGAGGAGGCAGGAGCAATCAGAGAGCATCCACAAGCTCTCACCACAGCACCTATCAGCCTGCCTGCGGTCGCAGCCCACACCTGCCGTGACGGGAAAGGGCTGTGTGCGCCACGGCTGAGGCTGACGACTCGCCGGGCGCTCGCCAAGGCCGGCCCCTCCCTCCACTGCACCTCACCCTGTCCTGGACCACTCCCGCGGGCCAACGCACCGGCGCTTCTCCCATGCTCCTTCAAGCTTCTGCGCTGCTGCTCCCTAGCAGAGGAGCCCCCATCACCACCTTATATCAGATATCCTGCCAGTGTTTCACGCTCATGCTACTGCATCTTCCCTACAAATCTACGACTTCTGTATTTCCCACTTCAACAGGATCGACACGGTTTCATAAACCATGTCAATCCCTCAGAAAAATCTTACCATTTTTATTTCCTTCATAATTATGAGGATTCGTACATGCAGTTGTGAGCATGCTATATTTACAGTTTTAAACATTATATTCTAGATTTGGGATTATACCCTGCTTGTTTCTAGGTCATCAATATTCTTCAAAATGGGGGTTTTTTCTTCCTTATTTTCATTAGATTTGTATTTATTAGCAATAATTGTACATATTTATGAGGTAAAATGTAGTATTTTGATACATGCATGTTTTAATGATCAAATTAGAATAATTAGCTTCCATCGCTTCATAAATTCAAGATTGCTTTGTAGTATGAACATTCAAAAGTCTTTCTTCTAGCTATTTAGAAAAAAACCATGTTATTGTTAGCTGTTGTTACCTACTGTGCAACAGAACACCAAAAGGATACTTTTTACAATAAAGAAAAAAATTTACGTTTTAATTTAATAGAAGTAAACCTTTGAGTTTAATTTATATAATTTTTGAATAACTTAATTAACTTTGAAGAAGAACCCAAGAATGATACATCTTTTGTGAGCACTTAGACATTAAACAATATCCTCCATTTAATACATTAAAATGAAGTAAATCTTTGCAAAAAAGTTTTATTATCAACTCTAATAATCCCAGTATTAGAGGACAGAGGGCCTGCATAGGAAGTTAGTGCAGTGACTCCTGTTGTTAATTTAATAAAATAATTAACACTCTTATGTGTGATATCAGTAATCACCTGAGGCTCCTGACATGAGCTGCCCAGACTATGGAAACCTTTTTGAATCCATGATCTCCTTCCAAATTTAGACAAGGCCATGAGCAAAGTCAAAGTTCTCTCCTCCCTTCAGAGAAAAGTACATCCTTCTTTGATGGCCACTTCTTTCCACATGGGTCTCACCCACAGAGGTCCTTCATGTAGGACATTTTTGCCAAAGTGTCAGCTTTCCATGCCTGAAATGCTCTCATGGGCTTTGCAGCCAGATCAGAATGCCTTATAGGCTGATTCTGAGGTCAGAGTGCTATTTAGAGCAATTGTCATTCTATGAGTCTGCTGTATGAACTGCTTCCCATGTTGGAGCATTCACTCCTTTTTAATTCTAATATTATTACCAAGCACTTAATCCTATTTATATGATCACTTTAACCCTTAATCCTATCTATATGATCACTTAATCCTATCCATATGCTCGATTTAACATTTAAAATGCTATTTTTACCACCCAGCATTAAGGAGATCTGTGGTCCCATAAAATCAGGGGTTTTATTTAATGATTACAGAATACTATGTCTATAACCCAGAATTTAGTCATCATTTCTCTGTCAAATATTAATGCTCACATTGTCTTATATTTTATACACACATACAATGATACTTCAGAAACATCACAAAACTGGAATTAAAAGATTGGTGTATTTTGGTATTGAAACTGAAATCCACAGTTTTTCATAGCACTTGTTTTCCATATGTATCTGATTATTTCCTTAGCACAGATGACAACAACTCTAGGGCCCACGGCATGGACTGGTGGGCAATCAGTACTGATGAACACCCAGAGAATGTGAGTCTGCAACCAAGAAAAGGGTCAAGAATCCATCCACAAGGAGCGTGCGGCCTAGAATAAGCCACCAAAGCAAGGCAGTGTGGGCTCCTGGGGGTCCACTAGGACACAAACAGAAGAATGGAAGGGCTCCATGAAAGACACGGGCTTTCTTATGAAACTCTGGACACTGTACGGGACTCTCCCACGGCGCGCTGCCCAGGCTCCCGTCTCAGGTTCTGCACAGATACCTGAGCTCCAGATCTCATCAGGGTCTAAGAACCAAGCACTCTGCAGCCTGTGCTGACTGGTGGGGCTTTCCTTGCACTGGATCCCAATCCAGATTTAAACCTTCGGGTAACAAATGTTAAATGTGTTGGAACAGAGCACCAACTTAAAAACTGTCCCTAAAACTGAGAGATCTACTGAATATTATGCCACTCTGAACTGTAAGGGGGTAGAAGCTGTAGAAACCCGGCTTCACTTCTAGAAGTTTTCCTGCTCTCCAGTACTTAACTCCTACTGACAGGCATCTTCATGGCATTTTACGTAACAGACAACACCGCTCTCCCCGCTCTTGACCTAAAAGGGGTCATGAGCTTGCTTTCTTAGCAGAAGTTACTACAGGCGAAATTAAAGTTGTTGTATTCTAAACCTTTTTAGGTTAAAAGTATAACATACTTCAAAAAGTATAAAGTATTGAATTTATATATTCAGGTGTTATATATATATATTATATATAAAACCTATTGTGTGTATGTGTGTGTGTGTGTGTAAATAACTCAATCTACTGGTTTGTTTAGGGTGTTTCTTTTTCTAATCAGCTGTTCTTCAAATTGAGCTTTGGCAGAATAGGCCCATACTAAAGCTTTACTAACATCACTCATTTTTATACAGAAACATCACGCGGTCAGAGACATTAGTTTGATTCGTATCAGGCTCAGACATGAAGCCAAATTGAAAACTGGAGGAAAACTAAAATGTGACTGAAATATAACTATTTCCAAACTTTAAAAAAAAAAGTTGGTCAAGTCATTTCAGTTTTGACCTGAGTAACAAATGGGGATGAAGTGTAACAATAATCTATAAAGCATCTATATGGAGTTCACAATCAAAGAACTTGGGTTTCAGAAAAGTCTCACTGGAACCATGACTTTTCTATTCACTAGTTGTTGAATTCTTTATCTTGTGGAGGAGTAAGCTTGTGATTATAAAGCATGCTGAAACTATGTCACTGTAAAAATTAAAAGAAAAGTAAGAGGAGGGAGGGAGAGTGGGAATGAGGGAGAGAGGAAAAGAAACGTGGGAAGCATCATTATGCTCTAAATCCGTATATATGAAATGCATGAAGCTTTTTCCCTGTATATTAAAAAAAGTCTCTTTAATTGACCAGTGTTTTTTTGAGCATGAGGTACTCTCCCCATGCCAGTGGATATGTGTGTTGAGCCAAGCACTGGGACAGTGCCATCACGTACACTATGACATGCATTCTTTACATGTATCGGAGCCCTAAATCTTGAAAACCCTGCCCAGGTTTCACACGAGTAAGTGACAGAGCAGGGATCTGAATTCAATTCTGCCTCACAGGACCATTCATGCCAACGCGGCCAGGCACTTTATGACCTATGCTGAGACCACACACAGCGGCCTGTCTGAGACTCAGAGGGAGAAAATGCCCCTGCTTCTGGACACCGGAGAATCGTGTTCATCCTTCTGCTGTATCATTAGCTGAGCTGTATTGTAAGTCGTATTTCTTCCTCCTAGGTCCCTATACCTTAAAGGACAAAGTAGGTATTCCATCCTTGTTTAACGAATGAATGCATGAACAAATGACTAGTGAGTGAGATAGTGAATGAGATAGTGAAAAGCAGCCTTGACCCAACCTGGTACCATTGCTGTATCCAGCCCATTTCACATCACGAAATCATTCCAGAGCTAATCCCCTAACAGTATAAACGCCACCAGTTGCTGTTTAACCACACACACAGCGACACCAACACACGAGTGTACTTCAGAAGGTTCATGGTAGGTGAAGCCGCCACCTGTGACTCCCGCATCCTATATGGGCACCAGTTTGAGCCCCAGTTGCTTGGCTTCTGACCAAGCTCCTTAGTAGTGGCCTGGGGAAAGCAGCGAAGATGGCCCAAGTCCTTGGGCCCCTGACACCCACGTGGAAGACCTGGAAGAAGCTCCTGGTTCTTGGCTTCGGACTGGCCCAGCTCTGGCTGTTGTGGCTATTTGGAGAGTGAACCAGCAGATGGAAGACCTCTCTGTCTCTCCCTCTCTGTAACTACATTTCGTTCTTTTCTTTTTATTAAAGATTTATTATTATTTGAAAGTCAGAGTTACACAGAGAGAAGAAGAGGCAGAGAGAGAGACAGAGGTCTTCCATTCACTGGGTCACTCCCCATTTGGCTGCAACGGCCAGATCTGTGCTGATTAGACCTCTTCCGGGTCTCCCATGTGGGTGCAGGGGACCAAGGACTTGGGCCATCTTCTACTGCTTTCCCAGACCATAGCAGAGAGCTGGATCGGAAGTGAAGCAGCCAAGACTCGAACCGGCGCCCATATGGGATGCTGGCACTGCAGGCAGCGGCTTTAACCCCTACACCACAGCACTGTAACTACGTTTCAAGTAAATATATTTTTAAAAATCAATCTTCTAAAAAAAAGTTCATGGAAAAAATCCATAGATTTAGGTGAGGTGCAAAAACATTTGTAAATGCATGCATAGCTTTTTCATAATAAGCATTTTCCATGAATT